GGGGAGACCCAAAAAAAAAAAAAAAAAAAAAAAAAAAAAAAAAAAAAAAGAATAATATCTTTGCAGTACAATATCACAAAAACAATTGGGTAAATGCCCTCTTTCCTGTTTTAAACAACACAAACAGTTCTTTTGTCAACTTCCTTTTTCAAAGAAAAAAATTTAATAAGTCATTATTATAGAACAATGGTGTTATATCCTTTAGATCAATTTTACCTATTTCAGCAAATTCTAGAATGTTCATTTAATACTTAGTATATGATAACAATGTGCTAAACACTGAAGCTGACAAGAAAAAGAAAAACCAGAGATCCTCTTGTCTTATCCACAGATGGGAAAATCAGAGCCTGCAGAGGATAATGTGCCCAACATAGCACTGGGGGTCAGAACAAGAGGCTTCTGAGCCTGACCACAGGACAGCGACAATATCAAGAAGCCAGTCAAGAAAAAAATCCATGATAAAATGTAAATTTTGGTTCTCATATCAAAAGAATGATAATAAGCTGTGGGTTTTTGGGGGGGGGTATTTTTAGCTTTTACTTTTATTTAATGTTTATCATTCCAAGGAGAGGCAATTTTGAATACATCTTTCCAGAAATAATGTGAAGCGTTTTACTCCATCTAAGGTGTACTGCACCACACTATACGACACTGTACTGCACCACACTATACGACACTGTACTGTACCACACTATACTACACTGTACTGCACCCTATATGACACTGTACTGCACACTATACAACACTGTACTGCACCACACTATACTACACTGTACTGCACCCTATACGACACTGTACTGCACCACACTATACGACACTGTACTGCACCACACTATACGACACTGTACTGCACCACACTATACGACACTGTACTGCACCACACTATACGACACTGTACTGCACCACACTATACGACACTGTACTGCACCACACTATACGACACTGTACTGCACCACACTATACGACACTGTACTGCACCACACTATACGACACTGTACTGCACCACACTATACGACACTGTACTGCACCACACTATACGACACTGTACTGCACCACACTATACGACACTGTACTGCACCACACTATACGACACTGTACTGCACCACACTATACGACACTGTACTGCACCACACTATACGACACTGTACTGCACCACACTATACGACACTGTACTGCACCACACTATACGACACTGTACTGCACCACACTATACGACACTGTACTGCACCACACTATACGACACTGTACTGCACCACACTATACGACACTGTACTGCACCACACTATACGACACTGTACTGCACCACACTATACGACACTGTACTGCACCACACTATACGACACTGTACTGCACCACACTATACGACACTGTACTGCACCACACTATACGACACTGTACTGCACCACACTATACGACACTGTACTGCACCACACTATACGACACTGTACTGCACCACACTATACGACACTGTACTGCACCACACTATACGACACTGTACTGCACCACACTATACGACACTGTACTGCACCACACTATACGACACTGTACTGCACCACACTATACGACACTGTACTGCACCACACTATACGACACTGTACTGCACCACACTATACGACACTGTACTGCACCACACTATACGACACTGTACTGCACCACACTATACGACACTGTACTGCACCACACTATACGACACTGTACTGCACCACACTATACGACACTGTACTGCACCACACTATACGACACTGTACTGCACCACACTATACGACACTGTACTGCACCACACTATACGACACTGTACTGCACCACACTATACGACACTGTACTGCACCACACTATACGACACTGTACTGCACCACACTATACGACACTGTACTGCACCACACTATACGACACTGTACTGCACCACACTATACGACACTGTACTGCACCACACTATACGACACTGTACTGCACCACACTATACGACACTGTACTGCACCACACTATACGACACTGTACTGCACCACACTATACGACACTGTACTGCACCACACTATACGACACTGTACTGCACCACACTATACGACACTGTACTGCACCACACTATACGACACTGTACTGCACCACACTATACGACACTGTACTGCACCACACTATACGACACTGTACTGCACCACACTATACGACACTGTACTGCACCACACTATACGACACTGTACTGCACCACACTATACGACACTGTACTGCACCACACTATACGACACTGTACTGCACCACACTATACGACACTGTACTGCACCACACTATACGACACTGTACTGCACCACACTATACGACACTGTACTGCACCACACTATACGACACTGTACTGCACCACACTATACGACACTGTACTGCACCACACTATACGACACTGTACTGCACCACACTATACGACACTGTACTGCACCACACTATACGACACTGTACTGCACCACACTATACGACACTGTACTGCACCACACTATACGACACTGTACTGCACCACACTATACGACACTGTACTGCACCACACTATACGACACTGTACTGCACCACACTATACGACACTGTACTGCACCACACTATACGACACTGTACTGCACCACACTATACGACACTGTACTGCACCACACTATACGACACTGTACTGCACCACACTATACGACACTGTACTGCACCACACTATACGACACTGTACTGCACCACACTATACGACACTGTACTGCACCACACTATACGACACTGTACTGCACCACACTATACGACACTGTACTGCACCACACTATACGACACTGTACTGCACCACACTATACGACACTGTACTGCACCACACTATACGACACTGTACTGCACCACACTATACGACACTGTACTGCACCACACTATACGACACTGTACTGCACCACACTATACGACACTGTACTGCACCACACTATACGACACTGTACTGCACCACACTATACGACACTGTACTGCACCACACTATACGACACTGTACTGCACCACACTATACGACACTGTACTGCACCACACTATACGACACTGTACTGCACCACACTATACGACACTGTACTGCACCACACTATACGACACTGTACTGCACCACACTATACGACACTGTACTGCACCACACTATACGACACTGTACTGCACCACACTATACGACACTGTACTGCACCACACTATACGACACTGTACTGCACCACACTATACGACACTGTACTGCACCACACTATACGACACTGTACTGCACCACACTATACGACACTGTACTGCACCACACTATACGACACTGTACTGCACCACACTATACGACACTGTACTGCACCACACTATACGACACTGTACTGCACCACACTATACGACACTGTACTGCACCACACTATACGACACTGTACTGCACCACACTATACGACACTGTACTGCACCACACTATACGACACTGTACTGCACCACACTATACGACACTGTACTGCACCACACTATACGACACTGTACTGCACCACACTATACGACACTGTACTGCACCACACTATACGACACTGTACTGCACCACACTATACGACACTGTACTGCACCACACTATACGACACTGTACTGCACCACACTATACGACACTGTACTGCACCACACTATACGACACTGTACTGCACCACACTATACGACACTGTACTGCACCACACTATACGACACTGTACTGCACCACACTATACGACACTGTACTGCACCACACTATACGACACTGTACTGCACCACACTATACGACACTGTACTGCACCACACTATACGACACTGTACTGCACCACACTATACGACACTGTACTGCACCACACTATACGACACTGTACTGCACCACACTATACGACACTGTACTGCACCACACTATACGACACTGTACTGCACCACACTATACGACACTGTACTGCACCACACTATACGACACTGTACTGCACCACACTATACGACACTGTACTGCACCACACTATACGACACTGTACTGCACCACACTATACGACACTGTACTGCACCACACTATACGACACTGTACTGCACCACACTATACGACACTGTACTGCACCACACTATACGACACTGTACTGCACCACACTATACGACACTGTACTGCACCACACTATACGACACTGTACTGCACCACACTATACGACACTGTACTGCACCACACTATACGACACTGTACTGCACCACACTATACGACACTGTACTGCACCACACTATACGACACTGTACTGCACCACACTATACGACACTGTACTGCACCACACTATACGACACTGTACTGCACCACACTATACGACACTGTACTGCACCACACTATACGACACTGTACTGCACCACACTATACGACACTGTACTGCACCACACTATACGACACTGTACTGCACCACACTATACGACACTGTACTGCACCACACTATACGACACTGTACTGCACCACACTATTCTCTTCAGTTTATCTTTTGCCTTATGAAAAAAAAAGAAAAGAAAAAATTTTACTCCATTCTCTACTAGGACTTGGCTTGTTTTTCAAGAGGAAAAGCCACATAAAATGGCAAAATCGCTCTGTCAATACTTGATTTCTGCATCAGAGAAACTGAAAATTTAGCAGGCAAGAATAAAAGTACATCCAGGGGCTGGAGAGATGGCTCAGTGGGTAAGAACACTGGTTGTTCTTACAGAAGACCCGGGTGCAAATCCCAGCACCCATATGGCAGCTAACAACTGTCCATAACTCCAGTCCCATGGGATTCGACAGCCCCTTCTAACCTCTGCAGGCATTGCACAACACGGGTGAACTTATCTGCATGCAGGTAATACACGCATACACAAAATAAGAAAAATAAGCAAAATTTTAAAAAATATGTAGTGGGCCCCATGGGTCCATACCTGTGCATTTATCTACCACTGAGGTGGCTCATGGTAAGCCCTTGGATAGCTTATGCTAAGAGGTAACTTAGGATGGGGTGCTGGCCCAGTTAGGCTAGATGAAGCTTTGAGCCATTTCATAGCAGCCTGACCTTAAGGGAGAAGGGAGGGCTGGAGACTGAGTTGGCAGCAGTTCAACCCTGCACACAATGAAGCCTCAATAAAAACTCTAGACACCAATTCAGTGAGCTTCCCTGGTTAGCAATAGTCTGTACAGGGTCATAGTTCAGTGTCACCTAGGTTAGTTACTGAACTATGGCCCTGTACAGACTATTGCGCCTTCCAAAGAGACATGGTCATAGACCACAGAATAAGGAGTTCACAACTTTTTGATCATCAGAATCTTAGAGACCCAAATCAAAGGGAAAGAAAAAAAATCATGCAAATTTTATAACACAACAATAAGCTAATTCATAAATCAAAACTGGGTAAGAAGAACCAAAAGATCAAACACAAAATTATAAATATTCAAATACTAAAATCAGGACTTAATGTTAAACCATCAGTGGATACGCAGCATAATACTTAAGATTAAACAGACCTTACGGTTTCTACAGAGTGCTGAGTGTCAACTGCCTTTAATTTTGTTTGCTGTTTCTCCTTCTGCATTTTTGCCTCATGGATGAAATATTCTTGAGATTGAAGATTTGCTTTCAACTCTTTCTGTTCTTCCTGCAGAGCCTGCAAAATACTCAGAAAAAAAATCAGGTATTATCACAACCTTCCTTCAGTTTTCTCTCTTTTTTTTTTTTTTTCCTGCAGAGCCTGCAAAATGCTCTGAAAAAGTCAAATAGCATTGCGGTGCTCCTATTTCGTGAGAAAAAGCAGCCAGGGAGGCAGACTTTATGACAGGCACAATATTAATACAGCTGTCAACAGCTTAGCTATCAGCTTCTGGGAAGGGAAGAAATCATACAGTTTGGGACTTGGTTCTAGGTTAGTCTCTCAAAACACTCACACATGCGTTTCCTCAACCCTAGTAACTTGACAACACACCTCTAATAACTTTTCAGATTCCCTCAACTTTTCTTCCTTTTGCCGCTGCTCCTGCAGAATGGTCATATTGGTTCCAGTCAGGTCGTTGACCCTCATGTTAAGGCGCTCAATTTCCAACTCATTGGCATAGATGGTGTCCTTGGCTCGCTCAAGTTTACTGTTCAGGTGCTGAATTTCTGACTGGCTCGACAGCTCCACAGACTCTAATTTCTGTTTCCTATTGGCAAGCTGAGCCTAGAAACACATAGACTATTAATAAGTAAAAGAAAAATGATAAAAGAATAGTCAACACTAGCAAACATAAAAAACTTCAATTTTACCTCTATAAAAATGATGCCATCACTAAAAATATAAGAAATGGAGCTGGAGGGATGGCTCAATGGTTAATGGTTAAGAGTGCTTGCTGCTCTTTCAGAGGACTGGACTTTGGTTCCCAGCATCTATGTGAGATCCTGACACCAGCAGGCCATGTGTGTATACATACACAAATAAATAAATAAATAAATAAATAAATAAATAAATAAATAAAATTAGTTTAAACACATCACAAAGGAGGAATTGAGGAAGTACAGAGATGCACACGCCTTTAATCTCAGCACTCGGGAGGCAGAGGCAGGCAGATCTCTGAGTTCAAGGCCAGCCTAGTCTACATAGTGATTTCCACGGCAGGTGGGGCTAAAGGGAGACCCTGTCCAAAAAAAAAAAAAAAAAAAATTCTTACAGAGATGCTTTTTTGTATATATTTATGTTTGTGTGGTGTGCACACACATTATGTGTGTTCAAGTATGTATGGATGCACATGCATGTATATGTATGTGTGTGTGTCTAGGCCTGAAGTTGATGCCTTCATCATTCTCTGTTTACTGAGGCGGTCTCTCAAAGTACCTGGAACCTGAGGTTTCAATTAGTCTGGCTAGCAGCATACTCTGGGGATCTCATCTCCACCTCATACTGTGATAACACGTGGGCCACTATGCCCACTGGGCATTTCTTTTTAATTTTTAAAAATGTATTTTTATTTTATGTGTATGAGCATTTTGCCTGAATGTGTGTATATGCATCACATGTGTGCAATGCCCTAGGAGGTCAGAAGAGGGCATCAGATCTCCTGGAACTGGAGCTATGGACAGTTGTTAGCTGCCATGTGGGTGCTGATAACCGAACTTGGGTTGTCTGCAAGTGTAGCCAGTGCTCTTAACTGCTGAGCCATCCCTCCAGCCCCATCCCATCAGGCTTTTCTGTGGGTTCTGGAGATCCAAACTTTGGTCCTCAACACTTGGACAGCAAGCACTTTACCCTTGAGCATTTCCTCAAGCCCCAGTACAGGAATTCCAAAGGAAAAGACTGAAGACAGCTGCATTATTTTACCTGCAGGTGAAGTTTAACCCCAGCTATGAGCCATCTGAGAAGAAACACAGAGTTATCTCCTACTCACAACAAAGGGATTAAGAACTATAATGCAACACTCTGTTTCTCCCTCTCTCTCTCGCTCTCTCTTGCTCTTTCCCTCCCTCCCTTCCTCCCTCCTTCCCTCCCAATGTTTGGGATGTAAAGCCTTGCACATGCTGGCAAGTGCTCTACCACTGAGCTACATCCCCAGTCCAAATGCATCATTCTACTTCTTGTGGAAGCTCAGAAAGTAAAAACTTTAAATTAAGCAAACTTACTAAATTTGTAGCATGCATATCATTCTCTTCCCACCCACAGTGTGTTGCATATAATTATTCTGTTTTAGCACCCTTGTCAGATACATTAGAAATACTCATCTTCAGATCATTCTAAGTGAGCTCAAAAAGTGTTTAAATTTAGAAAGGTGGGAAGACTGTAGTATTTTATTCATTGACGAAAAGGTGCTTCTAGGAGGATTGGTTTTATCAGCAGTTTTGGACTTTTCCTGGGCTGATTTAACCAAATACAACACATCTCAAATTAGCTCTTTTCAATGACATTTTCGAATGAGGTACATTCAAATAAAGCCATTTTAGCAACTGTTCTCACATGCCTGCCATGTATATTCCTAACCGTTAGTTCTGTGTGCTTGCTATAATGGTTTTGGCTTCCCATTTTCTGATTTGTGCAAGTCTTAATTCAGTATCTAGACTGGCTCTTCATCTATACTCTCAAGATGGACATAAATCATTTGTAGAAGTAAATATTCCTTACTTTAAATATTCCTAAAGGTAAAGGCACACGACTTTAGGAATTCAAGTAGAAATGTCTCTGTGGAATTTATATGTTATAGACTTAAAGATTTTATTGTATACAGTACAGGATCAAAATCTTGTACTGTATATTATGGTAACAAAAAGCACTAAAATATGACCATAAGGCAAAGAAAGAGTAGGAGGCCAGGTGTGGTACACACCTTTAATCCCAGCACTCTGGAGGCAGAGGTAGGCATATCTCTGTAAGTTTTGAGGCCAGCCAGTCTACACAGCCAGTTCCAGGCCAGCCAGGGCTACATAATGAGACCCTGTCTCAAAAAAAAAAAGAAGAAGAAGAGGGGCTGGAGAGATAGCTCAGCAGTTAAGAACACTGGGTTTGAATCCCAGCACCCCATGGCAGCTAACAAATGTCCATAATTCCAATTCCAGGAGCTCCAACAGCTTCTGTCCTCTATGGGCACTGCATGACATGGGTAAACTTACCTACATGCAGGCAATACACTCATACACATAAAATAAAAATAATAAATATTTTTTAAAAAAGAAAAAAGAAAAAGAAAAGGAAAGAAAGAAAATCCCTGCCCAAAGAAAGAATAGGAGAAGAGAGGCGAAGACACAAATACTATCTGTATAAGGTACGGATCAAGACCAGGGCAGACGCATTTCCTTTCTTTTTTACTGAATTCCTACAAAGGTATGAAAAAAAGACTCAACACATGTTTAGAGTGCAACTGTCTCCAGATGTCCAAATACAATATAGCCTTCTTTTTCTCAAGAGGAAATCTTACAGAATCCTCTCCATAGTAATTAAATGCAGAGATTGGCTGAGGGTAAGAAGGAGAAAAGGATGCAATTATTTGCTGTACCTCGATTTACCCATCCTGTCCACCAGCCCTGGAGCTCACAGAACCCAGATGGAAACCCCTGTCCACATGGGCACTCAGGAGGAGAGACAATGGCATAATGGTAAAACACACATGCAGTGACTGTTTATCAACACTTAACTCAAACTGTGATCTGAAAGCAAATGCAATATTGGAGGTGAAGCTATAGTTTAAGTAAATAGTTTAACCAGTTAGTCTTAACCAGTTACCTTAACTTCTTAGTTTTGAAAAATCAAGGATCTTTTATTGATTTATATTTCACTCATACAAAAAGACATAGTGCTTTTAACACATAATCATCCTAAATATAAATTTTGAATTTTCACTAACTAGAAATAATACCCAAGGCCTGCTGTGCTGGTTAGTTTTTGACATAAAACTAGTCACCTGGGAAGTGGGAGCCTCAACTGATGAATTTCCTACATCAGACTGGCCTGTGGGCATGTCTCTGGAGCATTTTCTTGATTGCTAATTGATGTAGAAGGACCCAGCTGTAGTAGTTGGACCTGGGCTGCATAATATAAGGAAAGTAGCTGAGCAAGCCAGGGAAGGAAGTCAGTAAGCAGCTCTCCTCCACAGCCTCTGCTTCGCTTCCTGCTTCCTGCCTTGAGTTCCTGCCTTGGCTTCCCTCAATGATGGACTATGATGTAGAAGTGCAAGACAAACTAAGCCCTTCCTCCCTAAGTTGCTTTTGGTCAGAATGTTTTATTACAGCAAACAGAACAGAAATTAGAACACCTGTACTGTCCAATATGACAGTAAGAGGCCACATGTGCCCACTGCCACACTGGATTGGGTTAGTCTGATTTGAGAAATGCTCTAAACGCAAAATAAACAAACATTGGAGAGTCAAAGACTCAATTTAAAAAGAGAATATAAATGGTGTACTGATATTTTACTAGACTGGGTTAAATAAAACATAGAATTCCACATTTTTCTTTTTGCCTTTTTTCCTTTTCATTCAATTTTATTTCAAGATGATTTTTAAAATGTTAACATTCTTTTATTTAGGCATTATTTATTTTTTATTTCAATGTACAATTATATTGAATTTTTGTGCACTTCATACAAAACATCCTAATCATCTTTATACCACCTATTCCATCTGTATCCCTATACCTCCCCCGACCAGACTTCATGCATTCTGTCATATATGATAAGGCCTATCGAGTCAAGTTTGTGTACCCAGATGTCCCTTAGGGCAAGTTCATCCACGGGAGTCCAGTCAGCCTAGTAAAAATGGTAAATAATATGTGACTCACATTTTATCTCCACTAGCACTGCATTAATTTAAAAAGTACCTTTGCCAATACTAAGGAAATCAGAAATAATCATATAAACCATTTATAAAATTACAGTTACCTCTCTTAGTTATCTAGCTTTAGAAGTATTTAAAGGTAAATACATTTCAAATCATTTTTGTAAAAACCACTGCCAGAAACCAGTAACTTCTCCCATTAAGCATTTAGCTTTGTAGCTATTTTGCTGAAGTAGGTGGGGCTATCTCAACTACACAAATGACAGTAAAAGTGATGAAACAATGAAGAAGGCAATTTATATCAGGAGACAGAAAGCAAGCCAGCTGAGAAGTTTACAGTTCAGTAGGCTCAGCAGGGATCGGAGGAGCACACTGGGAGCTCCAGATTTACAGGCTCTTGAGCTGCCACCTATTGGGATGCTGAAGGCTGTGGCTGGCATGGACACATCTGGAAGTGCCCATGATGAGGAGCTAGGTAAGGGGCCTGACCCTGCAATGACCAGGCCTTCACGCTAGGATTCCTTGGCAAATCAAAGGCCCTGCTGCTTCTGCCCAGAATGTTCTTAGCAACTTTCCTGGCTGCAGCAGCATTTCCTTGATCTGAATTCAAGCCCAGCTCCCAGCCCCTCCCCAGCTGTCTCACACCTTAGCTGTCCACCATAGTACCACTGGCTTACATTCCATATGAATTTTACAATCTTCTGTCAAATCCTCAAAGTAAGTCAAAAAGTTATATGAATAATCATTTGAAAAAATAAATACCTATCAAATAAAACCGATGCCAAAATGTTTTAAATAAAATATATTTTTAAAAGTTAGAAAGTATTAAAGAAACCTTGGCCGAGGTAAAACATTTTAGAATGACATGAAAGATATGAACCCCAAAGAAAAAGCTGACATAATTAAGCCATTCTAAATAGCTGTTCATAAAACTTCATTTTCATAAAAACTACTTGTTGAGGGGCTGGAGAGATGGCTCAGCGGTTTAGAGCACTGACTGCTCTTGCAGAGGAACCGGGTTTGAGTCCCAGCACCCACACGGCGGCTATGAACCGTCCTTAAACTCCAGTTTCAGGGGAATCCAAAGCCCTCTTCTGACCTCCATGGCATTGCATGACACGGGTGCAGGCAATACATGCAGGTGATACTCATACACATAAAATAAAAATAATAAAATATTTTTTAAAATTACTTGTTGATATTAAAGCAAATTAGATATACGCACACAACCACCACATAACAGGCACAGGATTTACTTACACTGATCTAGGAAAAGCTCATTCAACATAGCAAAACACAAAGACCCTAAAAAAAAACAGTGAGTGAAGGACACAGAATTTCCAAAAAAGGGAGAAAATAGATTTAAAAATGTTGAACTTCACTCGTAATTAGACAAAATTAAACAATCAGATACTAAACTTTTCCTCTCTAAGATTGACAGGCAAGCCTAAAAGTGAGGTAAGTTAAAAGAAGTAACAGTGTCCAGTGTTGGAACCCCTGGACCCCTGGACATCCACATATTCGACTGGAGAAAGCCTCCAGCAGTCCATTTGGAGAGCATCTGGGGATATACATTAAAATCCTTAGCAATACACACCGCCATGAAGCAGCAATCTCACTTTTAGGGCCCTTTCTTTTTTAAATTTGTCAGTTTGATTGTGGGGAAGATGTGCTGCATGTGAGTGCAGGTACCCTGGGAAGACAGAGGAGCCCCTGGAGCTGGAGTTCCAGGCAAATGTAAGCTGCCCCTCCCTCCACAATTTGGGTGCTGGGAACCAACTAGAGTCCTTCGCAAGAAGAGTAGATGCTCTTAACAGCTGAGTCATGTCTCAGCCCCTAGGGCCCTTTCTCACAAAAATAAATGAGCAAATAATCCTAAATGGGTATATAAGTAAAAGCTTAAAAGCGAATGTTCTATAAGAAGGGATTGGTGACACAGATCATGATACATTTAACAGGAGAATGCAGCACTATGCAGCCACCATGACTACACATGCTGGCACATCATATATCAACAAATGAAACAACAAATACTGTATCAAAGTACTTAGCTCAGCACCTGTTCTACAGTAAGCACACCATATATTCTTGAAATGGTAAGTTTTGGGACGTTTTCAAATGTGAACAGAAATACAGAAAGTACAATATGCTCATTGCTTAGCTTCAAAATTATCCACACTTTGTTATCCTTAGTACTTAAGAAGCTCACAACTACTCCTCCCCCACCCCCTCATTTACAGTTTGACTCTTACCAAAGGGACATGAGGACAATGGGTACTGCATGAAAGCACAGAAAACTACACCAAATACCAATCACGGTGAATCTTTCAGGGCAGGATTAGAGATGGTTCTACTTAATTCTCATTTTGTTTTGTTCTCATTTTTTGAAAATGAGCATAATTTTAGAAGTTGACTAAAAGATACCAAGTAAATATATGACTCAGAGTGGGAAGAGTGGGAACCTACTTCTGAATCCCATTTTTAGATGTTAAAAATATGTAAGAAAAAAAAATTACGTCAAGGAATTTTTCTAAAGGGATCTTCTCAATCTCCGCGTTTCTACTGTAACTTACATATCAACCAAATGCAAGAGTCACGCTCCACTGGATTCTGACTCAAACAACCAACTGTAGAGGGTAGATTTCAGACAACCGGGGAAAACTGAACAGATTACATATTAAATTATATTCCTATTATTTATCCTGTTAATGTGATATTGACATATGGAAAGGTGTTTCTTATTTTGAAAGACCTGTTAGGAAATGAGATGACACCTGTCATTTGCTTTTTAACATTTTAATAGTCAAAAATAGAAAGTAGAAAGTTAGAGTTCTGGTTTTCCAAGATGAAAAGTCCTAAAGAACAGCTGCACAACAATGTGTGCATACAGCTGACACTAATGGACAGCACCCTGAAAGCCAATTTAGATGGGGGTGTAGTGCTTGACTAGTGTGAGTGAGAGCCTGGGTTCAATCCTCAGTGAGAAGAATGAATGAGGAAAAAATATGTTTTTTGAGACAGGGTCTCCCTATAGCTGGCCTGGAACTTGCTATGTAGACCAGGTTGGCCTTGGCCTCTTGGAAATCTGCCTCCCAAGGGCTGGGATTAAAGGTGTGCGCCATCACGCCTGGCTGAGGTACAATTTTTGTTATAAATTTTAAACATGGCCAGGCATGATGGCACACATCTTCAATCCAACACTTGGAAGGCAGAGGCAGGCAGATCTCTGAGTTTGAAACCACCCTGGTCAACATGGTGAGTTCCAGGCCACCAGTAAGACTCTGTCTCCAAAAGAAAACAAAAAACAAAAACAAAATTAACACACATACACAAGATTGGCATGATGATAGCTATTAATGCTAGGTAATGGGCATAGAGAGGTTTAATTAAAATGTTTAGTAAAGGTAATCATATAGCATTGATTGACACATATTGAGCCACAGAAAGCTTTAAGTCTTGTTTAATTTACCAAAGGAGAAAGAGAAATACATTTAAAAGTAACATTTTTAACTAATCAGTGTTTATTTTAAAGAAAATAATAAGAAGAATGAATATCCTTAGTAGGCAAACACATGATGGCTCTTTAAAGTGTCTTATTCTAGCCCTAGTTGAACAATGGTAAATAAAAATCCCATTTTTACTAAGAATGAAGTTATATAGAGTTGATAATCACAATAGTAATTTGTTAACAGTGACTTTAAAAAGACTCTGCAATCAATAAACACTCCAGGAACAAATAATTGAAGGCTGAAAAAATAAAAACTCAATTTGCTCTTTTCCAATCTAAATGCTGTAATTAGAATGTAGTGTGTGTTGTAGCTATTAGGTGTGTACAGAGCAAATCCCCTGTTCTAGAAACCTCAGGGCTCCATTGTCCTGCTTTGGCTGCACAGCTTGTTCCAGTCTACAAAATAGTTTGGGGTTTTTTTTTCCCCTCTCGGGCTTATAGGTCCCTCCTGACATTCTGAGTGGAGTTACAGCAAAACCATTTGCAATCGCTTATCAGATAGCTGGTATTTCAGGGAGACAAAGAAAAAGTCAATACTTAAAAGAACCAAGAAAATGAAATTTAAAAGAGAAAAGAAAAATTTTTCCTCTAGCGCTCTGAACTTCCTCAGTCTGTTCTGCCATTAGAAACCGAGATTAGAACTACCAGCCTTGACGGATTAGCACACTGCAAATAACATGTACACAGGCACGGAGAGGCAGCACTAGCGGCCACAATCTCCCTCCTCTGTTCATTTTCCTTCACGGTCTTGATTTTAAATAAAAGAAAGTGAAGGAGCTATGTTCCCAGAAGACATACCCTAAATTCAGTGTCTACTTTATTTTACCAAGTCACTAGTTTTCGTGAGATCCTGCAGCCACAAAGACAGGAGTTTTAGATACGGTGCACAGCAATGCAGTGTGATTCTCTCCAAACAGGAGGACTAACTGAGCTCCTGGATGAGGCACCTCAGCTAAGGTTCTCAGGCTGTCACAGAGATGGAGCAAAGCACAGGCAGAAGTAGACCCAGAAAGACCATGACAGAAGCAGAAAAAAAAACAGAAAAGGAGACAAAGAGAAGAGGGGCAGGGACCAAGATTAGGAGAGTGGACACAAGAAAGCAAGTGGGTACGAGACCTGCAAGTGGACAGAAGGTTGAGCCGGGGAGGGAACTCTGAGCCTATCTAGATGCTGAAGAGGATGAGCCTACACATAGCAGAGAGAAGAGCCATGGAATGGCATCAGAAATTGTACGACAACAGGTCAGATTCAGTCAAAACCTACCAGCCACTCGTATGCGAAATGGCTTAAGCCTACCTGAATTATCTCCGATTGTTCAGCCAGAGCCTTCCTTTGTGCTTCCAGAGAAGATACCTGTTGCTGATAAATCAAGCGCTGCTTCTCCCAGTCCAGCGATTTCTGACGAAATTCCTGAGGAGGCAATTAAGGCACTTAACATCTAAGTGCTTCCCCTGGCTGCCACTACTTTCCAGATTCACTTTGCTCTAATTTCCCCCTCTCCCCAGTACACCTTTCTCCTCAGCAGGAGCCCCATTACTCACTTAGTTGACAGAGCTGCAGAGTAACACTGAATTCCTCTCACACTGTGCCTCTGGATACCTGTCTTTCTAAATTTAACACCCTAATGGGTGAAAAGTGGGAAACACACTGAACAGTGGGTTCATGAACATCTTCACACATCTGCTGCCACCTAAGGGCTGCTATCATTGTGTAGTGCTCAGAAAAACGGATGCCAAGAAAACTAAAATGTCAAAGTATGGTTACATATACCCCATGCTATCCAAGTTCCTGACATCCATCCAAGCAGATTCAAGTAAATTTTCAGATGAGGAGCTTGGTAGCCCAATTGTCACTTCTTGGAATCTAAAATATATTCTGATTTCATAGTCAAATTTTTATTATCTCAAAGCCTAATAAACAACAATGACTGGCCTCGCCAACAATCGCTATAGGTACAATAGTGGCACTTTTATCTTGGGGGTAATCAACAGCTGCCTAATTGGTACTAAGGCCCACTCAGTGGAAGGGAACTCGTGTGTGGTATTGTAAACATAGCCAAATACACATGGCCAGAGAGGTCATAGATCCTAGAGAAAAACCTACTTTTGCCACATCCCTAGACCAACATAATTCCTTACGTTATTCTAAATATGTATTTTCATATTTACAGACAAATGTACCTTTCACCCTTCATCAAAGAAGCTTTTATTTGTAACAGATGAATACTATTAGAGTTCCAGAACTGGTCAAAAGCAGAATATACATGTCTGTATAGTCTAACTCAAGTGACATATCTTCAATGCAACCTCTACATTTAGGATGAATGCATCTCTCTATTCTGACCAGAGAAGTCTCCTTATGCAGTAGATGGTAATTAACACAGAAACCCACAATAGGCCAATGTGCAGAGAACAAGGGACCACAGAGTGCTTATCCCTGAGTAGGATACCTGTTTCAAACCTCTGCCTCCCAGGACTCAGGGATCATTATAGAAGAGGAGGTGGATAGATTGTAAGAGCCAGAGGAGGTAAATGACCACAAGGAAGCAGAATCTTCTAGACAGCTGGGCAGTTGCTCATACGAACTCACAGCAATGGTGCGAAGCAAGCACAAGTCCTATGCAAGTTCTATGCAAACTAGACAAAAATCCCAGCATGGACATGGGGAAGTGGGTAAGAAATCCCAATCCACTCTGAAGAATTTTGGCAATTGATGGCTGCTGGGAGGGGGAGAAACAGTCTTACGAGGATAGACTCTGGGTGGGCCGAGTGGATGGACCCATACTGAAGGACATTTGGGGATACAAATCAGATTCTATAGGTCATATTATACATATAAGAGTGCGTTAAATTGGATGGGGGCAGTGGGGGCAGGTATAGATGGGGAAAGGGGATCTGGATACCATCAAACTATACTGTATAAAATCGCAAAAATTCAACAAAAAAATTAAATTAAAAAAATGTACTATTCAACAGAACTGTAAAATTCTTGAATAACATAGGAAGTCTCTACCACATTTTAACAGATATTTATAACTCAGAACTACAAGTGCAAAATTAATGGCTGACCAACAGCAACTTCAGAATGATCATGAAAATGAGTCCAAATCAAAGGAAAAGATGCTCAGTCTTTCTATCACTGTCCTCAGCTTGAGATCCCTCCTCAGGTTCACTGTTGGAAATCTGATTTCTGATATTCCGTTCAGTCACTTTATTATATATGCCAGTACTAACTTAGGTACAACATCTAATAAAACAAAACCTGGCCCCACTCAATTGGAGGGTGAAAGAAAACAAATTATCTTTATGAACCTGTTTTATGAGATATAAATATGTATTTTAGAGGAAATGGAGCCTGGAGTACAGAAAAGACAAGGAAAATGCTAAAGCAATGTCTTGGATAGGGAAGGGAGAGAGAATTCTTCCAGCAAGGGAGGAAGGCAGGGCACACAGGCACAGATGTAGAGAGGCAGCAGACACCAGGGAACAGAAAAGAAGATGCCCAGGAAGATGATGTGAGAACAGTGTTGAAAAGTGTGAGGAGAAAAGAGTCACTGTGGAAAGTAGGATCATGAGAGGAAATACAGAATGATTCTGGGTCTTGTTGGGAGCCATTTAAGGTTAGTGACCATGAATTTAACATAAAGGCAGCCAACATGTATGTTCAACTGCATGAGGCAGGTAGAGAGTGGGCGGAAAGCAGACCTAACTAGAGTTATGATGTTACCAAGTAAGGGGACTGAAGAGAGAAGGGTGAAGGAAAATGTAAAGAATGCAGCCATGGACTCTGAGCTGGGTAAAGGCCAGGAAGTGACAACACAAGGTAGATATGGAGCACAGGAAACATGGCAGAATTCATTCACCTAAGGGGCAGCTAATGATTACCGAGTATCAGACACTAAAGGGAGCAGGCTGAAAAGATAGGGGTGAGGACTACATGCTTAAATATTAATGGGGCCTGTAATATTGGTAAAGACAAACCCTAAAGAACGGCCCTAAGAGTAAACGGATGAGACCAGGAGGAAATCAAAATATCTATGGAAGAAAGGATATCAAGAAACTGGAAGGCCAGAGTATGGTAAGCACCATCTCAGTGGATGAAACCCTCAAGAGTTATGATAAGAAGAGCATTAGAGGGCTGGAGAGATGGCTCAGCAGTTAAGAATACTGACTGCTCTTGCAGAAGACCTGGGTTCGAATCCCAGCACCCACATGGCAGCTAACAACTGTTCGTAACTCTGGTCCCAGGGGATCTGACAGCCCCTTCTGTCCTCTGCAGACATTGCACAACACGGGTGCACTTATGTCACACAGGCAATACATGCATACACATAAAATAAAAATAATAATTTTTTTTATTTAAATAGAGGAGCATTAGATAAGATAGTAATGAGGTGGCATCTCTGAGCCAGAGGAGTAACCTAGGATCAGGATGGCTACTGTGCTCTGTGTTCACTGCTGAGTAGTACAGGCTGATGATGAACATTGAAGATGGGGTTCTGAGGTAGAGATGAAAGAGAGGGGTAAGGAAGTGACACTGAGAAGCAAGAAGGAATGAGGGGTGGTGGGAAAAGGTATTAATGAGGAAGGCTGAAGGGGAGGCAGAGTGTGTGGTCCTCTGAACCTACTATATAAAAATACTGAGATGAAAAATACATTGAACACAGAAATTAGATAGTAAGATACACTATCATCAAGAGCACAAAAATTATAAGTAATCACATAAAGAGTTGAACAATGTTTCTCAAATTAGAATCAGCTAGGGGACCTGGGTAAAATGCAGATTCCTAGGTCCCATGCTAAACTAATGAATCAGAATCTCTGAGGTGCTAAAAGCACCCTGGGTGATTATTATACACACTAAAGAACTTATGGGGAAGACAGAGGAGGGAGGGAGAGATTCCAGGTGCAAAGGATGAAGCCTTGTGCTGCTCTACCATCGCTGCCTCCTGTCAAAATATACCATAATCACAGAGCTACTCAGTAAAAACCAGAATCAGCAGGGAGAGGTGAATCCTCTGTAAATCAGCTTGCTCTATCTCAATGGGAACTGAAGATAAACCATCTGATATGCAGAGTACTCTATACAAGAAAAGTCAAGAATTGTCCACATTAACTAGCACCAATCTGTTTGGTGCTAGAGACACAGTAAGACACTGCTATAACTGACGGTCAGTGTTTCTCAATATGGAAGATACTGGGTACTGCAGTCTTTTCTAGGATATAGTCCCAGGTGTGCCTGCCACCCCTGCTCCCTGCACCTTGAATGCCAATGTCATGCTCCATCATTTTAACAACAACTACAAAAAATGCCCTACATTTCCAAATGGTCGATCTACCCTGTTGAGATTTACTGATGGGCAGGGGCTACATCAGCCATGGGGATCAAGTGACAATGGGTTGCACTGTGCATCATGCCTCCCCCATACCCCCCCCAAAAAATAGCTCAATGGCAGTCCTGGGGATGGAGGAGACTAGCTTCAGGAAACAGCTCCATTACAAATAGCATTTTCCTACATGAAGGCTGGCAACCATAACCGACTGTTGCTGTGAACATACCTCTATTTTTCCAGTTAGTTTTTCAATCTCAGACCGATCCTCCCTTTGATTTTTGGTATTTCCTCTGAATTCTCTTATTTGCTTTCTCTGCAGCTTTTCATAGCTTCTCTTCAGTCTGCCTAACTACAGAAACAGTTGTTTAACTTAAAGCTTAAGAGTTAGCAAACAGTGGTCAGACAAATTGGTATTATAAAACTGGAGTAATGCTAAGCCATGCTACTGAAAACAGGTCAACAGCATGTTAGAGTTGCAAAGCAAAATACAAAAAAACTAAAAATTATAGAACTGGAGATACAGCTCTGCGGGGAGAGTGCTGGCCTAGTAAGCACAGGACCCTGGGTTGGATCCCCAGCAACAAATAAACCAGGCATTGTGGCACATGCCTGTAATATCAGTACCTGGCAGCACAGGCAGGGGGATCAAGGTCAAGATCATCTTCACCTAAAGAATTCAAGGCCAACCTGGGATACATGAGACACTATCTCAAATGTGGGTAGAATATTAATGCTACTAAAGAAATAGTTAAAGAAATTTTAAACAAAACTAGTTCTGGGCTGGAGAAATAGTTTAGTAGTTAGGAGCACTGGCTGCTCTCTCAGAGGACCCAAGTTCAGTTCACAGTACCCACATGGTGGCTAACAACCATCTATAACTTCAGTTCTAGGGGATCCAACAACCCTCTTCAGGCCTCCACAGGCATTGCATGTGAGTGCATTTATATACATTCAGGTAAAATGCTCATACACATGAAATAGAAATAAAAATTTTAAATTAGTTTTATCACAATTGCCTTGAATTCATAGGCCCCACAAGCCACCACACATAAAAAGCAAAGCAGTAACTCTCTCTTTCCTGTAGGCCCATGGAACTCAGCCAATCCCTGGTTTAGACAGCATTGAGCATATTAGGCAAAATTCTTTGCCTAAATTCAAGATCAGAAAAACACATTTCCACCCCATACCTCCCACAGGATATGTGCGACCCGCTTTGTAAAATAGAAACTGGTTCTCAACAAAATTGTCAAGGGATACAGAGACAGAACCACATGGCACAGACAGAACTGAAACCTCACTTCTTCCTGTAGCTTCTTCAGCTCTTGCTTGTACCCAATGGCCATGTCTTGCTTGGTTCTTTCATGCTTGTCTATCTGCTGGCGCAGCACTTCCACCTGAAAGCAGACAAGGGGCAGAGCTTTTCAGCATCAGCGTGGAAACAACAGCCCCAAAACGGAAAACCTGAAAATGATCGTTATACTCACTTACAAACTAAAGTTTTCAAGTTTCTCTCTCTCTCTGTGTGTGTGTGTGTGTGTGTGAGAGAGAGAGAGAGAGAAGGTTAAGGTCAAGATGACATCATGGCTGGGGGTGTAATGTAGAGTATGAACCCGGAGCTGGACAAAGTCCAACAGGCAGTAGGTGTCCAGGTCAGGTGAGAGTTGCCAACAGTCTCCTAGGCAGCAATCACACTGGAGGATAGGGTGTTATACTGGAGAGTGGGGTACTGGGGTTTTATTACTGCAGTTAATGAGTTCAGCTAACAAAATTAGCTCTAAACAGTGACTTTGGTTCCACAGCCCAAGCAATGTTTACCAGTCTAAGCCCTTGTCCTGTTGAGAACAGATATTCAGAGAGGGAGACAGAGAGAGAGAGAGGAGAGAGAGAGAGATAATAGCCCTTTTCTCAGGCAGTCAAATGGCTAAATTAATAATTCCCATAACACTATGAAAAGAACTAACTTCTGGAATTTTAAAGTTAGCAGAAGACTTAAATTCCCTGTTCGGTTTATTCTCCTCAATGCTTTTTGTGAAATAAGTAACAAACCCTCATAAAAACAGCAGATAAAGAAAATCTGTAAGACCTTAATAATTTCTACAACTAATGTACAGATTAGTAAAGTCAGACTGAAAGACAACTGGTAACTCATAGTTGCTCTATAATTACCTGACTTCCCCCAGAATAAGGAAGTGATCCTACCTAACCCATGTTTCAATGATTTGATACCAGAGACAGCCATCTTGTTCCCAGCCCTCAACTCCTAAGTATCCAGCAGTGTTCCTCCTGACAACCACTAACAGTTTCATCTACTGATAGATGGCAAGGGAAAGGAAGAACAGGAATCTAGAGATAGCAATCTTTGGGGGGTGCCGGGACAAGGGGGACGATGTGCAGGCAGTGTGTGTACCTGCCTGTTGAGGCCAAAAGTTAATGTTAGGCATCTTCCTCAATCCTTCTCTGTCCTCCTTTTTGAGGCAGAGTTTCCCACTGAACGGTTCAGCCGGGCTGGCAGTGAGCCACAGGGCCCTCCCTGTCTCCAGTGCTGAGACTGCAGGTATATGCAGCTGTGCCTAGCCTCCACATAGGTCCTGGGGACTGAACTGAGGCCCTCATGCTCGTGTGGCAAGCACTTTACTCACTGAGCCACCTCAGTAGTACTTTCCAGTTTCTTAAACTATTTAGATGACTGGGGCTGGAGAGATGGCTCCGCAGTTAAGAGCACTGACTGCTGTTGCAGAGGACCTGGGTTCGATTCCCAGTACCCACATGGTGGCTACGAACCATCCTCAACTCCAGTCCAGGGGAATCCGACACCCTCTTCTGACCTCTGCAGCACTGCACGACACAGGGGCACTCACATACATGCAGGCAATACATTCATATACATAAAATAAAAATAATAAAATATATTTAAAAAATACTTAGATGACTAAGTATCAGTCTTTCTACTATATCATATATTTACGGATGGAGATGAAATTCTCTCTAGGTACCATGTAAGTAAGCTACATCCCACAGGTTGGTCTTCTTTGCTTTGGTTTGGTCAGTACTGGGGATTGAACCAGGGCCTCTACATTTGACTTAAAGGTTATTTGAAAGTGCACTGCTTAATTTCCAAGCCCTTGAAAATTTTCCAGTTGTCGTTTGAGTTTTAGCTTAAATCTACTTTGATACAAAAACAAAATTTAATCTTCTTAATATGTTGAAAATTGCTTATGGTAGTGAAAATGTTTCAGTCATTTTTTTAAAAGAATGTGTTGTCAGCAGCTATTGGAGTCAATGTTCTATTTAGATTCATTAGGTAAGTTAATTTTGATCAAGTCTTCACCTTATCTGATCTTTTTGGGTGTTTGTTCTATGGATTAGCAAGAGAGTTGTATTAGTCTCCTAAAATTACCATAAATTTAATTTTCCCCCAAATTCTATGTTTGCTTGTACATTTTAAGGGTATGTTATTAACTATTTATAGAGTTGAATTAATAGAGTTCCAGAACTGAGGTCAGAGGATAACCTGTCAAGTTGGTCCTCTCCCTCCACTATGACCTGGGGATTGAACTCAGGTCATCAGGTGTGGTGGTGGGTGCACCTTTACCTGATGAGCCATCTCACTATCCCTAAGTTACATTCGTTTTCTTTTGGGGTCTTCTTATAGCACATCATTTCCAAATTCTTTTTTTCAAATTTTGGTGTTTTAAATTTCCTTCTTCTAAATTCCTGGGCTTTAGCAAGCTCTTTCCTAATGGCTTGAGATGAATCACAACCTCACTGATCTTCAACCTAGCCTCTGCTAACACTCTGACTATAAATTTCCCTGAGATGTTTTATCTGCATCCTACGGGTCTGATGCATAATCCTCTCTTTATCTTTCAATTAAAACTATTTTTCATATCTCCTGTGACTTCCTCTTTGAATTATTTAGAACTTTATTTCTTAATTTCCAAACACAGATTTTTCAAGGTTTTCTTTTTCTAATCTGTTTCTGCTATGTTCAGAGATCTTATCTATGATTTCAAGTCTTTGTTTTCATCAAGATTTGTTTTATGGACCAGGACAGGATGAATTTTGGCAACAGTTCTGTTTGTGCTGGAAAAGAAATGCATGCTCTGCAGTTGTGTTGGGTAATGCTCTATTTTTATAAATTGGGCCAAGTTTGCTGATGCTCAAATCTATATTCTTGCTGATGCCTTCCACTGGTTGCTAAGAAAAATGTGTTAAAACTCCCAAGCATAGCTGTGGCTTCATCTGTTTCCTACTTATAGTTCTGATGCTTCTTGCACACATATGAAGGAAAAGAGAATTTTATTTTAAAACTACTTTACTATATTGTTTTGTTCTATTTTGAATTTTCCCAAAAGTACAACCTGAGCCAGCTTTATGGGTAGATAACTAGAGGTGACCCTAGAAAGCACGTGAGACAGGAAGGAAGAAGAGACATATGAGGTCTATCCTGGGCAGACTACTGCAGTAAGCAGCTGGGGCTGTGTGGTTGAGAACCCAGAAGGAAGTAGACAGTGATTCAGAACATTCTCTGAGCAATGGGAAGCTGGTTTTACCTGATTCTTTCCTCCCCTGCTTGGGGCTCACCGTGGCAGGGTTAGCTACCCCCATACTAGATTTAATGTGAGCAGCTTGCCAAGGGCCCCAGAGAAGCAAGTGCAATGGGAAGCTGGCCACATACAGAGAGCCATGTCCACGGCTAAGATGAAATCAGGGGAAGGAAGGTGGCACAGAGCAGACGATGTCCGTAATAAGTACACGTCCTGACACACGTGGTCATGATAAACACTTCTTTTCCTTAATAGTAACACTCTTTGCTTCTGCTTCAAGCAGCCCTTTTCCAATATGAATACAGTCGCCTCATCTTTCTCTTCAAGTGTCTGGAGGGCAGGCATTTTTTAGTTTGTCTTTGACTTCCAACTTTCTGTGCATTTACAATCATCAAATAACTGTGATTAATTATTTTTACCTAGTTGTCCAATTTACCTCTAATTGAGCCATCTGCTGCATTTACATTTATGGCCTACTTGGATTTAAGTTTACCATTTTACATGCTATTTATCCTTAATAAGCTCTGTGCATTTTCTCTCTGCTCACCTTCTTTAGGACTTCTCATTCCATTTTCTCCTATTACCGTGAAGATTTTCTCCACTAGTACACAGGCTGTTCCTGTGGTTTTGCTTTGCTTTGTTGTTGTTGTTTTGAGACAGGGCTTCCTGTAGCTCCAGGTGGCCTGGAACTTGCTGTATAGACCAGGCTAGCCTTGATCTCTTAGAGATCCACCTGCCTCTGCCTCCCAAGTGCTGGGATTAAAGGCATGAGCTATCACGTGTGGCTAGTATATACTTCTCATGGCTCCCTCTGACTGAAACAAGGATCTGTGACATAACAAGTAGTTCAGCCAATTCCCAGACAATCTTAGACTACAAAAGTAATTTAATTCCACTTCTCTCCCACTCGACCTAAATATGCCACCATAATACTAAATATGTTAGGCTCAAAGGACCAGTGCAGCTGTATACGGTCAGTATTCGTTTCCCTACATATTTATTGTTACTGTTTATTTCTTTCCACAGCTCTGATCTTCCATCTAGGGTCTCTCCTTATATTAGCTACTTTTCTGTTGCTGTAATAAAACCCCATGACCACAGCAACCTATAGAAGAAAGAGTTTATTTGGCTTATATGTCCAAAGGGCTAAGAGTCCACCATGGCAGGGAGGCATGGCTGAATGCAGCCAGAGCTTGAGGCTGAGGACCCACACCTTCCAGCAGCACAGGAAGGAAGCAGAGAGAGCAAAACTGGAGAGGTGTGGCTATGAACTCTCCATGCCCACTCCCACCATGCGCTTCCCCCAGCATGGCCACGCCTCCTAAACCTCAGCAAACAGCATCACCAGCTGAGGCCAAGTCCTAGCTTGTTTCTCCATTGCTGTGACAAAACACTCTGACCACTACCAACTTGGGAATGAAAGAGTTTATTTATCTTTTTAAAAATATTTTTATTTATTATTTTTATTTTATGCGTATGAGTGTATTGCCTGCATGTGAATGCACCCATGTTGAGCAATGCCTTGGAGGTCAGAAGAGGGTGTCGGAATCCCCTGGAACTGGAGTTAAGTACGGTTCGTAGCCACCATGTGGGTGCTGGGACTCGAACACAGGTCCTCTGCAACAGCAGTCAGTGCTCTTAACCACTGAGCCATCTCTCCAGCCCCGGTTTATTTATCTTACATTTCCAGGGTCACAGTTCATCAGGGAGCCCAAGGTAGGAACTCAAGGCAGGAACCTGGAGGCGGGAGCTGGAGCACAGGCCATGGAGGAAAGCTGCTTAGTGGCTTGCTCCCTTTGCCCCTGCTCAGCCTGCTTTCTTATGCAACACAGGCCCACCTGCCCAGG